GGGAGGAGTCGCGATTGTAGAGGGAGGTATGTCCTTGCTTATTTAACTGAGTAAATCAACATCGTTAATAAAATAACAAAGAGTTTAATAATTAAAATAAACATAGAAATACATACTTCGAAATACATATTACAACCTATCGAAAATCCTAAATCTGTCTAAAATACACCTCTAAACTGAGATTGTTTATAACAACTCAGACATAATACCTTGACTGAAGGTCTCTGTGTCGGTTTCTCGTTGAAAGACGACGCTCAACGAAACGATGTGAGGGAACTGTTGATAAAGTGACTCCTTCGAATTATTGAGGATTGCAGTATATATGGCAATATCGGATTTCTATTGACAGCCTCTACTATAGCAATATCATATTTCTATTAACTCCCTCGAATTGCTGGAAATCTCTTCTTATATCATAATTTTTGACCAATAGCATTAAAGGATATTCGTACACAGACGGAATGTACAGGAAAGGTAAATATCGAGATGGTTAAATCAGTTTGGAGATAAGGTTCTGGGAAAGGAAGTTAATTTTTCCTTTCAACACAATAGTGACAGCTTTGTCTTTTTTTTTTTTTTTTTGTAAACAACATGGAAAATCTCTCTCTCTCTCTCTTTCTCTCTCTCTATATATATATATATTTCTTACGCTAATTAAGTAATAAAATTCCAATTCTTACATATGTATTCAAATATGAAATGGAAATTAATTAAAACATGTCTAGTTAAACTTGATATTGATAAAACTTTAATTGAATTAATACAATTTGAATATAAAAAGAATTACTTCAAAGTAAATGAAAAATTCTATAGGCAAGTTAATGACATTAGTATGGGTTAAAGATGGGGCCAAAATTAGCAGAATTAGTTATGACAAAAAATAGATGAAATAATAAATAATATTTCTGGCATAAAACTAGTAATCGGATATACTGATGGTTATATTATAATATAAAATAGTAAAATAGTAATGATATAATTAATTTGAATACCATAAATAGCATTAAAGAAGATATTCGGTTTGACGTAGAAAAAGAAGAAAATGCGCAATTTAATTAATTATTTAGACATAACTATAATGAATAGCCTTGATAAATTTACTTTTATAACATACAAGAAACCTTGCAACGTCAGTAAACACAATTAACCATTATTCATATAATACAGAATATATATGAAAAAACATCCGTCTTAATAATTATCCTTGGAATAACCACATAATAAACAATAATTGTCAAATTCATAATAACAACATGTAAATTTTAAATATTGAAAAAGATATTTACAAAAGAAAATTCAAAAAACATACCGAAATACAAAAACCAAAAGATAATTTAATTAATATTTCAAAGGGCATGACAATCGACCCTCAGTTGTACCAGTTAATACAAGGCATTTCGACACGTAGAATATTATAATAGTACAGTTTGGAATATGTTGTATTTTAAAATTCTAGTTTTGTACTGTACGTTGTGTGAAATTATTGTTTAATATATACAGAGAAAAAACATTAATTGTAAGTATATACATATTTTTACTATTTAATGGTTTTTAAATTGCATTATAATAAAAATTTAGCTAAATTGTAATGTAATATAATGTAATGAACACTTAGTGCTTCACCTAAAACTGATGCTAAGTTACTTCTATTGTTACAAAAAAGAAAAAAATATATTAGATAAATTTAAAGTAACGTATGATTTTGAATTTTAATGTAATTTTATGTCATTATAATTTATTTTTTTATACGACATAGTGGATTTTTTATGTATATTTATGGAAAATACTAATGAGAAAATGGAATTTCTTTGTCGTCTTTATATGAAATATGTAAGTGTAGGTTTGTAAAAACTTTTTGCAATATATAGTAATATCGGTTCCAAATTGTACTGTTGTTATTTTTTAACAGCACTGAAAGAAGGTTGTAGATTTACAACAGCCCGAACTGCATTTGTATAACTTATATTCAATTTGTGAAATAAAGTTATAATTTTTATCAGAAGTGCTGTGAGACTGTCAACCAAAGAGTTTTTTAGATTAAAATGATTATATACATGCATAATTTGCATATACAGCATTGACAGCATATACAGCATATACACATTTCACAGCATATACAGCATTCAGATTATATTAAGAAGATAACAGTTATAGATAGCGTATTATTTTAATTAATTAACATATGTTGATACATATTTGGTACCACAGTGGAAAACCTAGCAGAAAAGTCTAAAAAATTAGTATAGAATCGCTTTTTAGCGCTTTATAAATTAGATAGATTTGCGTGCATTTACATAAAATCTACGCAAAATTACAAAAAAGAAAACTCGAATAATTTGGTCTAGACAGCTTTCCTGATCAGGACTCAGCCAGATGCTGGCTGAATGAGCTAATTCCATGGCAATAAAATAGGAAAATGTCAACCCAGTACGAAAGGTCAAAACATACAAAATATGTGGGTAAAATAAATTTCAATAAATACATAAAAGTGCAAAATATACGAATAAACAGTGAGACATTACAATTCACGTGAAGAAAAGATCAGGCTAGATGCCTAAATGAAATCTAGTTGCTAGTTGGTTAAATATATTCTCGCTTTTTTTGGAAGAATCAAGACACATCTATTCAGTAAGAGGAAGAAAAGAAATGTATCTTAAAGTGTTACAGAGAAGAATCGAATGCAATCAGATTTCTCAAATCAGAAAGTAATAATTTGCTTGAATGTCTATTGCTGCAGTAGACAGTTTTGAGAGTAAACTCAAGATGATAGCTGAGACTGTTATCAGTCTTTGTACCGCCAGGTAACAGAAGGGAATTGAATGTCTTTTTGTATTTATATTTCTTCCAACCGTAGGGTGAAATAACATGAAAAATATCAAAATATGGTTGTGATTGTTCTTGGAATATCTGAATAACAGTTTTCGTCGCTGCTGGAAAAAAGTTATGGTGCTGAATTATTGGAGAAATGGTTAGTAACGTCTCACTGCATAGAATGAAAGGTAACATTGTTGAATGTAAGAATTATATGTATAAATCTGTTAGTTTTGTTATAAGAAATATTTGAGCGAGTAATAGTGGAGATCTGGAATTCCGCTCTCTGTTTGCAGCAAAAAATAATTGTATGGATCAAAATCTTTGTATCGCAAATGATCTTTGAGAAGTAATATAGTTTATACGAGTTTTGTAGTTTCTTCGGTTTAAAGAAAGCATATGACTAAGTGAAAAAAAGTAATTGTGGAATGTTGTTAATGATTTCAAGATGTTCTAGAGCAGTGTTTCTCAACCTGTAACTAATCGTCGCCCCCTTCAACGTAGTATCGCCCCCTCAATAAAACCGTTACGTAGTATCGCTTCAAAATTTCGATGCCGAGGGCCAAGGCTAACGCCAAATTCGTACTGCATTGAATAGACTAGTGACCAGTATAATGTTATTTGTTTAATTATTGTACGATATAACGAATAAAATATTCAATTATTCTTAATATAATGTTTTACTCTATCGCTCAGAAAATTGTTTTTCGCCCCCAAAATATAAATTGTTACAAATCGCTCCTTCAACATGAAAAAACGCCCACATGGGGGCGATATCGCCCCCGTTGAGAAACACTGTTCTAGAGTATAAATGCGGGTGAGTGTCCTTATTTACTATATCCTTTATAACATTCGTCAAATGTTATAAAGGCATGGCTTGCAAGGTTTGTTGCATAGGGTATTCATTTCATTCACTTCATTCACTCCTTTAGGAAATGCCGTAACAGTTTAGTATTATTTAGGAAAATGAGGTACCAGACGTATGAAACTGCTAATATACGGGGTGATTATAATTTTAGTTTCACATTGAAATTACCATAAAATAAGAACTACTAGATAAAATATTATCAAACTTGGTAATGGTGTACAGGACATCATGGGATTTTATTTCCCGCGAAAAAAAAAATAGTTAAAAAACTCACCACGAACGGGAAATGGCGATGTCTGTAATATTGTTAAACGAAATAAGACACGAAGACATCGTTGAAAATGTTTTTAATCGGTTTTAAAACGCGTTACAGAGCATGTTCAATGCACTGTCCACCATTTTGATAAGCAAGTTACATCGCATTAACAGTAGCTCTTGGCATATCAGAAGGAATTTATCTTGCTTTCATAAAATGATAAATACCACGTTAAACATGGTTTGTAACACATTTTAAAAACAATTGAAGCATTTTCAACGACGTCTTCATATCTTGTTTCGTTTAAAAATATTGCAGTCAGCGCCATTTTCTGTTGGTGGTAAGTTTTTAAACTATTTTTTCTTGGAAAATAAAATCCCATGACAATTGGTACACTACTACAAGCTTGATAACATTCTGTTTAGTAGTTTTCATTTTATTGCCATTTCAATGTGAAACATTAATTATAATTACTTTGTATTTCTTATTATAATTATGTTAAATATATGATTAAGCTTGTTATGTGAGCGGTTATAGAAGTCAAAAGCATAATAAAATTTAAACTTATTTTACAATTGATTCAATCAATTATACAATAATATTTACAACAGTATTTTCCATGAGTGCGCACAGTAATGTCTACTAACAGGAATCACAGTAGAAAGGTTGTTTCAATTTGCTTAGTACATAGACTACATAGCATAGATCAAGATGAACACATGCACGCACAGTAATCAAAAGAATGTTCAAGGTATAACTGAGAACATTTATTTTAATTTTGCTTGCAAGTAATGAGTTCTCCGAAATTTTTCAAAAATTAACAAAAGTGCTTCTTTGACAAACAAAGAAAAACTACTGTAAGTTAATACAAGATCATACACGTTAAAACAGACGATGGTCTCGTTTTAGAAACGCTGACAAAAGGCTTATTTACCCTATCGACCAACGGTCAAGAATATTTTTTGCAATGTTTACAAATTTGGTGCACTCGTTTTTCAAATACATATAACTTAGATTGTTTATTACTGATATAAATTTATATATTTGAAATTAATGTAAACTTACTATTATTGAAAAGTAGTAACAGTTAGGTAAGGTATCATCCATGTTATTAACATCTTTAGAAAACCGGTCTAACACTTTTCCTGAAAATAAAAATTATCAAATAACAATTAAATTATTTCTTATATAAAAATATTTTTATTAATAACTGAAAACGAACAAGCAAAAACAAAAAATGATTTATTGTGACATCATTACAATGCCGGACTGCAATTTTTAATCATATTTTTAATTTATTTAATTAAAGGTATATGCTCTCCACCTTAAATTAGTAGTGTCATCCCAATGTAATAATACTTTTTCGTTAGCAATGGAGTCCAGCCAGTCATCTATCTAATTCGTTTAGTTGGAAACGATTTGAATTAAAATAACTGACCTCCAGTGTGCATCGAAAGTTCGTATATAGTTAATCAGGGCCGCATGTTCTTTTCAAATTAGTCTCCACTTTCATCTATTTAACTCCCTTGTCGATAGTTAGGAAAAACAGGCAGAGAGAAAACACCGGTAATTTATAAGTCTGCAATGTTTTCAAATTACAGCTCGAGAAGAAAAAAATAATTTATTGAGACTCACTCAGCTAACTCAGCTAGAAACAGAGCAACAGAATTCTACGTATAAGTACTTGTCCATTGCGAAACATTTCAACACCATATTAAACTGAGTCAGAAGTTAATAGGTATATAATTTCTCAGTTTTATTACATTATATAATTTGTAGCAAATAACGAATATCTGTGCTATGAATGTTTTTCGTGTAAAATGGAATTGGAAGTGAACGTACTTATTTTCATAATTTTAATTTTTTCTAAAATGTTATTCTGAATTTTATCAGAACAATATTAGCTTAAGATGACTGAAATAATTTTACATACCAACAGGATTATTGTCCAAAAATGATATTGGAGTTCGAATAATACAGCGGAACATATTGTTGTGAAGTTTGGTAGATGCAGCTGTAAAGAATTTCAACAATAGTAAACCTGTAATTAAGATGGTGAAACACGCTGCACATATCAATCCAAAGTAAACATATACGTTGGTTTCGTCATTCTGATAAAAATTTCTGCCTTCACTAATATTAAAGACTGTTGTGTTAAAGGTAATATCTTTTATTATTTCTTTACTTTGGCTATGGATTCTTCTATCTTGTAACCTAAAATTAAACATGAAATAACAGTAAATTCCTTACTTTTGTTTAGTATTTTGTTAAGATTGATATACAGGAAATGTAATTAACGTACAACATACAAGTAATATGTATAAAATACGTTAAACTATTGAATATACATCTGCTGGTATGCATGGAATAATTTAACTGAAAAATTAAGCATATAATATGTCGCAAAATGAATATCATAGCTTTATCATAATTATGCAAGATAAACTTTTCATGCAGATAAACTTTTCATGGTATTATTGGTGAACTCTGACAAATTTTGACATTTTATATAATCTGCAGCAAAGACAGAGGTTAAAATGAAATGCTACAAAGTTAGAGACTTGAACAATACACCCTTTTTCCTCAATGAAACAATTCAGCAAATATACAGTTATTACTTATTAGTTTTATTGTTTACAAGTATGATTTTATCAACTTTAGCTCTATCGCTATTTCCACTGTTTCTTCGTCTGCAAAATCTATTTAAGTCTCTTAATGGCACAGACAAGCAAATTAAAATTTTTCTAAGTTAAAAAATTTCAACAATATCAACGAATAAAAGTTTAGTAATGATCACTAAAGAAGTATTGCGACGAAAAGACATTTTGTATAATATTAAAAATTAAAATTAATTTTTATTATTAGCACATAACTTAAATTTACATGTTAATTTATCTTTAAAAACTGCAATAGACATTCTTGGAAATATTATTTTTTGTTAAGTGTTTGTCTACCAAGACTAAGCTTTTTAATAGGACAGACTGCGCTACTGTTTTGGTTTTTGCAACTTGTATTATATTTGGTATAATACAAAATAAAAATAAATATTGTTTGTTCCTCAAAATAAGTTTTTTCTCAGTTTCAAAAACAAAAACACCAGTGCAATTTGTCCTATTAATAAGCTTAGTCTTCGTAGACAAACATATAACAAATGTAGAAAATAAAGACATAGAGGCATATGAATTAATATGGAGATATGTAAATTTTTCGACTATAAATTCGACTTTCATCTATTATCAGGACTTATTATACTGGTTTTACAGATAATATTACAAAGATTAACAGAAAACAATTTTTATTTTATCTCGTATACCTGAGGAATGTTAAGCCAGTTGAACTGGCTTAATATTCAACTGGCTTAACATTCCTCAGGTATACGAAATAAAATAAAAATTGTTGTCCATTAATCTTTGTAATATTATCTGTAAAACCAGTATAATAAGTCCTGATAATAGATGAAAGTCGAATTTATAGTCGAAAAATTTACATATTGTTAAGGAAAAAAGGACATTGAGGCAATTTAATTAATTAATATGAAGATAGTTTTGTTTGTGTAACATATAAGTAAGAAAGTTTATATTGTTATATTAATATAAACAAGGTATTTTGTATTATAAAAATTGTTTTATGTATTTTTGCCTGTAAGTATGTTGCCAAAAATTCCAATTATGTATCCACTGAAGGAAAACAGAATGTGTTCGAAATACATTTGTTACTGATAAATCAAAAACACATAAATTATCTTGAAGTTTTCTTTTCTTCCATACTTCACGTACACTATTGATTTAAAAAAGGCCCAAGTAGGCATAAAATAGTTTAATCACCATAAATTATACTAAATTACACCGATTAACATCCTGTTTGTTTGATATTTTAGAGGAATGAATTGTCTTTTAACTTATCAGTACAGAAATGAAGAAATTATAAAGGTAATGCGTGGACAACCAAAAATGCAACAATTATTTGCATTATGTCAAATGCGCATATTAAAAGCAGTGTAACTCAAAAACTCTTAATACTATTACAAAACAAAGTCATTTCTCATCATAGTTATAAAATGCTCTTATGTAATAAACAGACGTTTTCAGATTTACACAACTTGTTTTATCAAAATTAATTTTTATAATTCTGACGAATTAAGTTTTTTGCAACATTACCCGAAAATTGCATTGTCAGAAACAAATGTAGCAATCAATGTTTCACAAAAACCACGTTACTCAACACAGATATTGAACATTCACTGGTATGTTATTTTGTACTTTCAATATTCTAATATTCAATATTTTAATAGTTTCATTGATAATCGAAATACTATATTCTCGTTGTCTTAAAATACGCATTAAAGCAAGCAAATGAAAAGTCAAGAACAAGGAATCAGTCTATCATAACTAACGAACATACATAGCTTAAACAGAAAAGCCAAAATCGACATGAAAATTTAAATGAATATTATATGTTATATGATGGTATATTTGAGTATAAAGGAGTAATCATTAATAAACAAATTTTATATAACTTTGAAAATATATGAGAACATATGGACCTAGAAATACATACAAATATTATGTATTGGGTGTTCAATGTTAAAAAATTTTACTTAAAAAGTTTTCTGATATAAACAAACATCTTCAAAAAGCAAAACTTGATTGCAAACGTCAAATTGTTTTAACAAAAAAACACAAATGGAACATTAAGTTAATATCCTGAATGTTTAATAAGCAGATATAGTAAAACAGATAACAAAGCATAGTGTAAACTTTTAATGAAAAATTTCAACTACGCTTCTACTGGTGTTTATACTCACTTACTCAGCATTTTTTCGTTTAAATTCACACGTGTGATGAAAAAGTAAAACAGCATGTTGTAAAATGTGAGAAGTTTGGGATGTGATGATTTTTAAAATTTTTATAAAAAATTCAATACAAAAAAATTCAAAAAATGACGTATGGTTTAATGACTCACAGTGCAAATAACAAACGGCTATATAATGTAATATTTTTATATCAAAAGTTTTATTAATAAAAACAATTTACCATTAAAAACTTGATTTAATTATAATAAAAGCATACCATTTGATTAGCCAATAGTCGCTGGCACTTGTAAAGGATTGAAATACCACTACCATTACTATTATAATAATCTTGAAGAAAAAACTTCCTCCAGCTTTGAAGTATGCTTTATAAATTGAAATTCTGACTTCTGAATGTTCTTCATCATCACGTGCGGTTCGATTATTTTGAGCTTCCTGTACGAATTGATTAAAAACTATGTAAATTATACACAGAAATATGCTTAAATCAATAACATAATACTTTTACAATTCTTTTAGAATGAAATATCTTACTCGTGACTTAATAAAAATTATTAAGTGTTCTCTAGAATATGTCTTACCGATTTAAAAAAACGATATCAATTTATAATTCGAAAAATTATTGATATTTACTTATATTTTACTTATGCTTTAATTATACTTAAAGATATTTACTTATAATTCGATGAATTAAAAGTAAATATTAATGTACTGTACTTCAACATTCGCAAGGTATATTTACCAGCTTGCAATTAACCTAATAATATCTGCCAATAATTTCAACTCGTTTTTTGATAAAGAAGCTTTAATACATCTGATCAATTTAAAGTAAAGTTAGACATCGACACGCTTGTTTTTCTCGATGAACGCAGCTTTACAAAAGAATTAAGATCAGTTCATTGTTTAGATGGTGACCAATCAGATCTCTTAAATAAATTAAACTTATATGTGACTTAATATGTAAAATTTTATTTTTTTAATTAATTTATAGCAACGTTACAGAAAAATTTTGTGATATAACAAAAGTTATGTTATTCATATAATAATGTTAAATACTAATACAGTAGCTTGGTTATATCGCTCTTGTCAAGAGACTAAAACAAAGCGCAATAAATCCGAAAACGCTAGTTAACCGAGTATAAAATACTCTAGGCTTATACTAAAAGGATTATACATGTTAATAAATCCCTATCCTCCATTATTTGATCAGCACGTGTTTCTCATATAAAATATAGTTTCTTTGCAATATAATAAGTTATATAGTAATAAATAATGTCTATGTTAACGAAAATACAAAAAACGCCCATTTACCATTATTGTCATCTTAATAATGACATCTAAAACAAATACTGTCAGTATAATAACTAAATAAAAATAACGATTTTTTTACAGATTACATGTATTTTATAATAAACCGCTTAATAAATATTCATGTAATTTATATTTCTTAATAAGCATTTTAAAGACTGTAATTAATAATTTTTAAAAATAAGTATTGAACCTGTAATAGAACATCAAACATTATAATAATCACAAAGAAAAATACAGCTACTACTGAATAAAAATTTTTCGTTCAGAAATAAACTAAACTTTTCACTATACAATTTAAAAAAATCAGAAATTTCACACCTTTATGTAAATTAAAAGTATTGCATCAATTCAAATAAAACTATATAATTGTGAATTCAAAAAAACTTGTAAATAAGACCTTAATGATTAAAACAAATTGATAAATAAGTTCTAATATAAACTAAATAAAACAATTTGAATAGT